ATTTTCACTTATAATTAAGTAGAAGAAAAAAGTAGTATGAAGCATAAATGCAAAATAACACAATTTGGAATGAAGGGGTTAGAGAATGAATGGATGGATGGGTGGATGGGTGGGATGGATAGATGTAACATAACACATTTATCTTCAACTTATGCACTGATTAGTATTTTTTTTGCATAGTGATTGACAGTACAATTCAAAATGTACTTTTAGTCCTATTTATCAAGTGAATATTATCTTTATCCCAGTATTGATATTCAGAATAAAGATATTGAATTCCAGTTTTAAATTTAATCAACTCTCAATAATATTATGGATTTGAATCGTTGAATTCATGAGTCACTTGAAGTTAGATCATCACGAAAAAACCAACAGCACTTATGCAGCAACCCAGATACACGAACTTCTATATGCTCACTGCTCATGGTGAGTGCAGGATCACGGTATTGACAATCTTGTAAAAGTACTTTGCACTTAGAAGGTGCAAAGCACATACCGCACCTACGGACATTGATTGCCAACTGACTAAGTGCGGATTGCATGCCTTGGGCATTATCGCACAATAGGACAATATCGTCCGCATACTCAAGGTCGAGAAGTCTTTCTCCAGGCAACAGATCCACACCACCATTACTTACATCCATCAGCGCTGTTTCCAGAATATCATCGATGGCAAAGTTGAAGAGGAATAGTGAGATTGGGCAATCCTGTTTAACCCAACTATTTGGACGGAACAATGGAGAGAGGTGGTTGTATGCCCTCACTCTGCCTGAGGTGTTTGTAAATAGGGCTTTTGGGATGTTAATAAACTTCTCAGGTACACCCTTCTTCAATAGACAATCCCAGAGAACAGTCCTGTCTAACAAATCGAAGGCAGCCCTGATGTCAGGAAACACTACGATTGTTGGTCTGTGATAAGTATGACGGTGTTCTAACATTTGGTCGAGGGTGAAGGTATGATCAATACATCCTCGACCAGAGCGAAACCCAGCCTGCTCCTCACGAGTCAATCTTTCTCGGGTTTTGAACAACCTACGAAGTATGACGGAAGCCAGTAGCTTGGACGCAATCGGAAGTAGACTTATCCCCTGATAGTTGTTACAGGAACGACGTGAACCCTTTTTAATGATAGGGACAACTATCAACTCACTCCATGACGTTGAGACACTATCTGACTGCCAAACATTTGTGAGCGACTCAGACAGTTCCTTAGTCAAAAAGTCACCACCATCTTTAAAAAGGGCCGGAAGTAGGTCATTTGAGCCTGGTGATTAGTAGCGCTTCAAGAGTTGGAGTTTCATGCGAAATTCCGCCTCATTCGGTGGATCAGTCGTCACGGGCCATGGAGGGCAGAACCGTCTGACCGATGTTGTCGTAGCAGCAGACCAGTTGAACTGCTCCTCAAAAAGCCCTGCCCACCGTCCAAGAGGTCATTTGATGTTAGTCATCGGCATTCCGTTACCCTCACAGACTGTTTCGTTCACACCAACCTTCTCGTTGCCGGTGGCTCGGATGAGTTAAAAGAGCCTCCGGCAATTTACCTAAAACTGAAACTAAAACCCCAATAAATAAAATAACTCCATAAATAATGTAAATAAATTTCCGTATCCCGGCTGTTGTAAAGACCTACCAACTACGAAAGGCATAATCATTCACTGCTATGTAGTACATAGGTGGTTAGCAAACACCTGACAGGAAGTAAAATCAAAGACAAAAAACCTGTTAAAACAACTGCTGAACCCCGGTAGTTGTGCAGTGTTTCAATATAGCCTCTTCTCCAGAAGGGACTACTAGGCTTCACCAACTAGTTTAGCCAAGCGTTCATAGCGACGTCGCTTTTTGATCCTTTGATGTCGGCTCTTCCTATCATTGTGAAGCGGAATTCAGCAAGCGTTGGATTGTTCACCCACTAATGGGGAAAGTGAGTTAGGTTTAATCCGCCGCGAGACAGGTTGCGGTGCGTGCTACTTATATTGATATAAGTAGCATATGACGCAAGTCAGGAATGTAATGTCTGGCAGCAGAAGATGGGGAAGATCAAGAAAGGAAGAAAGGGAATAGAAAGCAATTAATATGGAAATGCAAGAACAACGAAGTTCGAGACAATTATTGAACATTTTGCAAATTAAGTATCATAGTATGGTTTTTCTATTTTACCAAGTAACTCTGTAATGTTGTGCTAAATATAATTCGGTTGTCCTCTCTTGCGTTCTCCTTCACTACAAGGTTAGTTCTACTCTACTAATGAGTACATTAGTGGAGTTGAATCTGGCCGTTGCCATGGTAATCCAGTTTAATACGAAAGGAACCGCAGGTTCAACTAATTGGTATATGTGCCTGGTCGAAAGACCAATGGTGCGAAGCTAGCATCTGAGGTTTGAATCCCGTCCAACTTTGCAACGGTACATTTTGTATCCGACACGAGGCTGAGCAAGCTTACGTATTGCTTTTGGAGTCTGGACTGAACCATGTGTTCGGCTAGGCCAATTAGGTCAGATGTTATGCGAGAAAGATGACCATAAACCGTGCTCCAGATATTGAGACACGGTGTTCGACACGATATCCAATTGTGGTATGAGCGTAAGGATAGTAAATCGTTTGTAGACGACCTAATGTTTTGTCGTGAAGATTTAAGCGCTCGAGCAGCTATCACACTGCGAGGCATTGAATCCTATAATTGATTGACTTAACAATTTGAGGATATGTACCTCCATTATTTACCTTATGGCACAGGAATTCGTTAAAATAGGGGACGCAGAAGTCCTAATCTCTAGATTCCGAAGGTTGATATAGAAGAAATAAGATGATGAGAGTAAATGCCAACACGCATAAAAGTCGCAAGATAATTATGTAAGAGTTAACACGTGCATTTATCTACACCATAAAAATATACAAAATATTACCTTCATAAGGGATGTGAATTTCCAGTGTTCTCAACGACATTCTATAGGAATTTTTCAGATCACATTATCGTTCATAACTGTTGAACAGATTAATGTTTTCCAATGGGATTTACTTTATGTTGTCTAGCTAACTGTGTACTATTTATTGATGTATAATATGAACACATATATTAAGATTTGTGATTGACGATTTACTCCTGCTCTTACTCGTCATGTTATATAGGAATACTATCCCTAACTCATTGCTCTCTCAATGAATTTCGCAAATGCGATAAAAATGATCTTGGTGATCCAGTAATAGTATCCCAACACCAGACAATTGGTTTCAAACGTGATTTCAGCCCTAACGCTTCAGACTGATCTATTTCGTTTACTATCCTACATATGTGTTCTATGCAGTATATTCTATATTGCTATGTAGAGCTGAAAGTCTCATATGAGACTGGAGGTCCGCAATATGTGAAATATATGCCATATTCTTATGTAAACTGATGTTTGTTGACGTACCAGGATAAACAACTGTAATGCCATATGATTGGTTAATTCTATAGACTGAACTAATGATTTATGTTTAAATACTAATGAATATTGATATGAAGCGTTGAATGGTCACAGGTCATTTAGTTAATCTTCATAACAAACAAATGATGTATATGGGCTCCAGTGTCTTGATGAAACAAATGGCATATGAACCAATTATTGGTCACCGACTACCATGAGACTGCGTTTCCTGACGTTGATTTACTGCTGCGTGGATCAAATCTTTAGGTCGAAGGCTCAAGGCGTTCTCTCCTAAGATATTCACCTACTTTGGTTTGAGCACCCTGACGGTATCCCAACCCTCACACAAATTGAATGATTTATAAGGCGTATATCTATTTGATGCTTCCTTGTACCAATGGTTATGCATTTAAATAAACAACTTCCACAGAAATACGTATATTTTAGCTAAAAAAAATATCTATCCAAACACCACACACACACACATCTACAAATAAAAATGTATAAAATAGAGGAAGACAAAAGTGTAAAAATAAACAAGCAAACAACAACAAAACGTCTATCTATTAACCATCAAATAAACATTAAAAAATAAAACCATGAGAAAACACAAACCGTTAAAGCAAAATCAAACAAACGAAAACGCTATTATCAAAAGAGAGAGAGAGAGGGAGAAAAAGGAAAAGAAAAAAAATACAAAAATAACTCTAATCGATTATTTTTTTTTGCATTGTGTACAATAAACAAATAAACAAAAATAAACAAACGATAACATTTTTGATATGATGAATTGTTCTTAGAGAATCTTGGCAACAACATATTCACATTACATGAATTCAGTTCTATAAATTTAATAGAATAACATAGAAATCCACTTGATTTATTTACTATTAAAGGAGACAATAGAAAAATTGCACAAAGAAATCATAATCATTTAAAGACGATTATCGTCTGAGGTAGATACCCATCGTACTTCTGAAGATAGATAGATAGATTTGAAAAATTTACACAAAAATACTATATGGTTTATAATTAAACAAAAAAATAAGAAGAGAGAATATGAAGGTGAGACCTAGAATTTATGAGCAACTTTTGATTAACTCGCTACAGTGATCTCGAAACAATCTACTTAATCACTAGGACCAAATGAGGTTTATACACTAATATAAAGAATAAACATTAGTTATAATATCAAAATGCTCTTTAACCAAATGAATGAGTGAATTTCACGTCAAAAATAAATCCAAGATTTGTCATGTTCAATCTGATTGGCTCATTCATTAATTATAGTCTCACCAATAGGAATTTCGCACTAAAACCCAAAATCGGTTATCTTCAATCTGATTGGTTCATTCATGAATTCTAGTCTCACCATTAGGAATTTCGCGTCAAAATTTAAGATCAGTTATCTTCAATCTGATTGGTTCGTTCATAAATTCTGCATTGAAAAATTATTGTTAGGTAATCTGGTTTCTTTTTTTGTTTATTGAAATATATTAATCATAAGAATCTTTGGCATCATATCACTCATTCATTCTATTTCACTATTGATCCTTCGCAAGTAAAACAATTTCATACTTTATACTAGTTTTGTTGTTAAGCTAACTCCTTTCTTTCTGTTTTCTTTCGTATTGTTTGAAATATTACTAATTGATTATTCATTAATGATAACATAAGATGAATACCTTCCATAAGATAATGATTCGATGAAAGATTACATAATAATGATAGATTATTAATTCCTTCATTTAATTTAATACAATAAATAGGTACTAATGTTTCTGCCATTAAAATCATAAAATGTCCTGTATTAAATGACATTAGAATATGTTGAGATATGGAATGATTGAGATGATCATCTAAATATTCTTCAGTATTATGATGATGATCATTATCTTCATTATGAAAAGTACATTTCGATTGAATTGGTGTTGATGTTAATAAAATTTGTGTAACATTAATTTGATTTAATTCATTACTACTTATATGATTATAATCAGTAGTATAAATAAATGGTGAAATTTCTAATAATTTTTCACCGATTGAATTAAATAAACTTAATTTAGGTCCAATTTCTTCTTTATTTATATTCGATTGATTCATTTTTATAATAACATTCCATTGTATATAAATTAAACCTAATCTAGGTGATATAAGTAGATGATTGACAGTAGTATATCTATTTGTATGTAAAAATATCTTTTCTGTATTTGGATATGTCTCAAATGGATAATTTAATTCACTTATCATATCTGATTCGATTGTATTCAATTTAAGTACACGTGACCAATTTGATAATTTGACACTAAATAAATATAGATCATGATTAGCATTTGTTGCCATGAGACCTGTATCTAAGGGAATATTTAATGCAACACATGTTACTGGGTTACCATATAAATTTCCATAGAAAATTTTTATTATTTTTGCTAAACGTTTTGATTTTTTAGATTTATATGAATGAAATGGATAAAATGGTATACCAGCATTTCTATATTGTAAATGATAATCCATTTTAGGTAAATAGATTGTATTGAATAATAGTCTTGATGATAATGATGGTGATGATCCAGTTTCATCAAAAGATCGATAATACGAAGAATGTTCCTTTTGATCTTGTTCATCATGTATAGTCTTTGGATCAGAATTCATTGATAGATCATCTTGACTACCAAAAAACACATTACTATTTAATAATTTTCTTTGATTAAATGATGATAATAATGAATCATTAATAAAAGGTGAATGATCATATCGAAACTCTGTGAGATCCTCTTCTTCATCACGGTCATGATCATGATCATAATCATGATCGCGATCACGATCATCATTATCTTCTTCATTTAAAATATCAAAATCCCATATAGCACATGTACCATCACGACTACCAGTAATAATATAATAATGTGTTCTAATTGAATTCTTGTATTGATCTATTAAGAATTTATTGATTTTATTAAAATCACCATGATATGTAAATGGTTGTCGATCAATTAAACTATATGCTGAATCCATAGCAACACAACTAATTGTATCTATATGTGGACTTGTTAATAAAGCATGAATTTTTGATTGATACATATTATATATAGTTAAACGTCCATCCCATCTTCCACCAACAAATAACCATTTATCATCATAGGTTAATGCAAATAATTGTGAACCAATAGTATTTAAAGATGGAGATTGGTCTGTATTAGGTAAATTTAAAGAAAATATTTCGTCAAGTTTAAAATTATTTGAATTTTCAATGAAATGAATCCATGATGAATCAAATGGTCCAACAGAGCTATTGTGAAAACATGAAATAAGAACAAAACAAAGTTATCAGAAAAGGAGGGTTTTGTGGAAATTTTAGTCATTTTTTTAAAATAGTTGAATTCATGAGTCAATTGAAGTTAGACCACCATGGAAAACTTGGAAGTACTTGATGGTTGTTTCATTATAGTGTGGGACTCATCAGCAGTATGAATCCATGATCCCGTATCGCGAGATCCGAACTCAGGATCTATCACTCTAGCGGGCGAACGCTTAACCTTTAGACCACTGAAATTTTTGCCGGAATACAACGGTGTTAATGTTTAACTTCAACCAATTCATGAAACTGAGCGACATCCACCATTGTCTTCAGTGAGTTACCATCTCACAACAGAACCAGTTGAACTTCAATGGCCACTGCATCTTACTAGAACTCCAGGAAATATCTCTTGAAGCTAGTCACTAGTGAGCATATAATGACTGCTATCAATAAAGGGTTTTTTGTGGAGATTTTAGTCATTTTAAAAAATAGTTGAATTCATGAATCAATTGAAGTTAGACCACCATGGAAAACTTGGAAGTACTGAATGGCTGTTTCATTCTAGTATGGGACTCATCAGCACTATGCATCCATGATCCTGTATCACGAGATTCGAACCTAGAACTTATCAATCTTAACCTTTAGACTACTGAAATTATCTGTATCTAACAGTGCTTGTTTGAAGTTTACTTAATTTTAAACAGAAATGATTGGTAGTTACCAATGGAATTCAAGAAAGAGGGCTCTAATTAAACAATTGCGAACTGAATGTGCTTACACACCCCTGTTGACGTTTACATCCAGAATCAACACATTGTACCTTCTATTTTTGTTCATATACCTAACACATCATTCACTTATCTATTGAGTTCTGATATTCACTTCCAGATATGATGTAACTCTGATTAAAACGTTCATGACTTAATAGACATATCATCACAACATGTAAACATACATCGAAAAAAGACTGATCAAGTAAGTGCAGTTCTAAACTTCAATGGGAAGAATCAAACAAACAAATATGTATCAAGATTTAAGTAGTATTTATATATTTAATAAAATTTATAAAATAAATATTGGTAAAATTATAATTTATGAACGAACCAATCAGATATAAGATAATAGGTCTTGGGATTTTCGCGCAAAATCAGTTCATCCAGTTGGTTAAATAGAGTTTTGGCATTATAGTTATGAAAACCCTAAATCTAATTCCTAACCCTAACCACCAAGTGTAAATCATCATTCTTATTCCTCATACACTGATTTATAACTCTCACTTGGTCTTAGTTATCAGGTGAACACACTCAACGTCAGTTAAGGGTCGCTCAAAGGTCGTCCATAAATTTCAGTCTCACTGAAATATCTTCCATCACATCAGATATATTTTGTAATGAGTAACTAGGTTAATCTAAATCAAAGTTGAAAAGATCCAATGACTAGAATTTACTAATTACAGTTTATTTAAAAATTAATAACCAATTAGATGTTGATCTACTAAAGAGTTGAATCAAGTTTAATCTTTTATTAGTTAGATATTTCCATGGTGAAACCACGAGTCGATCTAAACTGGACCATTTTTGTAAACCTGGATTCACGGCAGTGCCATTTCGTCCTAGTATGGGAGTACTCAGAACTCCATGAAATCCATCCTGAAACTACTTACTAGTGAGCACATGATTATTATCATTATAGGGATTTGTGGAGAATGTACTAATTTTAATAGTTGAATTCATGAATCGATATAAGCTAGATCGCTATTGAGAATTCTCAAGCACTGGATGGCCATTTCGTCTTAATGTGGGATTCTTCAACAGTGAGTATCCACGATCTCACACCTAATGAACTCGAACCAAGGACCTATTGCTTTGTACAAACGCTTAACCTCCAGACCGCTGAGCTGGCATTCGAAGGTGTTAATCTCTAACTTCAATCGATCCACGATCCTGCATAACCATTCATACATTACCTTAAAGTGTATAACTGTCTAACATCTGACATGGAGTGAACTCCACTGGGCAAGTTTTCTCACTGAAACACCAGGAAACCCATTCTGAAGCTAGTCACTAGAGGGCATATGATTGTTTTAAGTATGAGGATTTGCGAGGATCGTAGTATTTTCGCAGTTGAAAGTTTTCCTCACAAATATGATGTTCCAACTTTCAAGCAATTCATGTATTTCAGTTGTTGAGATCATGAGTGAATTGAAGCTAGACCACCATGGAAAACTTGCAAGCATTGGACAGCGGTTTCATCCTATTGTGGGACAGTTCATCAAAGCGCTTCCACTTTAAATGACCAGATAATATTATCAGCTGTTATAGAAAAAAATTATGTCGTGTTGTCTAATACCTCTTACATATTGAATAGAGATTTAATGAAGCGTAGTGTTTGATTAGCTAGTTATTTTATGGTGTAGTTAATCCTCACTTATTTACTTATTTACTTAATTACTCGTGTTACCTTTCATCAAAGAGCGTGGACCATCGGACAGGATTCTTTAACCAACTACATTCTGACCTCCTCTTTCCATTTATTCCTACACGCAGTTTATTCTTTTGAAACCCGCCTGCAATATCCAACACAATATATTCCATGGCTTTCCTCTTTTCGTTTTGATTTCAGGATTCTAAGATAACACTTCCCTAATAATACAGTTTGATGATTTCCACAATGTATGTCCTATCCAATGTCTTCTAAGTGGGAGCTGGTTTGTCCTCTCCCACAGAAGGCTGTTGCTGATAGTATCCGGCCAATTGATGTTGAGTATCCTGCGTAGACAACTATTTAAAAATACTTGTACATTTTTGATAATGGTTGTGATAGTTCTTCAGTTTTCAGAACTCGACGGTATAACTGTGTTCGTATTGAAGATTTGGACTTTGATATTAGTCGATAGTTGTTTTGAGTTCTATATAATCTTCAACTATAGGAATGCTGCCCCTTACTTTCCCAATCTCTGCCTATACATCTACATCAAATCCTCCTTGTTCAATAATGACTAATTTATATAAAACTCAATGAGGATGATCTAGATACAATAGTCGACAATAACATACAACTGAAATCTGATAGAAACAAATACTTAACATTAGATTCAAACTATTGAATTTTTTGGATAAACTCAATTAACAGGTGCTTACTTACTTACGCCTGTTACTCCCAATGGAGCATAGGCAGCCAACCAGCATTCTACAACCCACTCTGTCCTCAACGTTCCTTTCTAGTTCCATCCAATTCTTGTTCAGTTTTCTTATGTCTGTCTCAGTTTCTCGCCGTAATGTATTATCTGTTCTTCCTCTTTTCCTTTGGCCTTGAGGATTTCATGTGAGGGCTTGTCTTGTGACGCAGTTCAATGTGTGTCCTATCCACTTCCAGAGCTTCTTCCTCCGCTGGGATCTGGTTTGTTCTTTCCCACAGTTGGTTGTTGCTAATAATGTCTGACCAACGGATCAGAATTATTTTGCGTAGACAACTTTGAATAAACACCTGTATCTTCTGGATGATGGCTTTCGTAATTTCCCAGGTTTCCGCCCCACACAGTAGAACTGTCTTGACATTTGTATTGAAAATTGTGACCTTGGCGCTGGTTGATAGACAGCTGTTTTGAGTTCCAGATGTCCTTCAGTTGTAAATACACTGTTGTTGCTTTGTAGATCCGTGCCTTCACATCTGAATCAGATCCACCATGTTCATCAATGATGCTGCCCAAATATGTAAAGGTTTTCACAACTTCCGAAGCTTCTCTGTCAAGTGTGATTGGATTGGTGCATGCTATGTTGTATTGGAGAATCTTAATTACCAGTTATTCACTTGGTATTGTTTTACTTGTATCTTCCAATTGTTACTTAGGACCTCACTTGATCAGTTTCATGTTGGCATATGTGCATCCTGTGTAGATTGCTTTAAGTCACATGGTGTTTTTTTAAAGCAAATATGGATAGTGGCTAGCAGTAGAATCCAGGACAACCGACACTTTGTCCTATTTGGGAATTGTTAGCCGGATATACCTAAATCCCAGATTTGATGGGAATCACTCCGAGACTTGAACCCAGTATTGTTCGCTTCAAACGCCATCGCGTTCTTCACTTAACTGCTGAGTCCTGATATTTCAGTTTAAAAAAACATTTTATTGATTAGTGTAAGATAATTCCTATCAATCAACTTACCCATATTGTGATGAACGATATGAATCATAGAATAAACCATATTGTTCTAAAGGTTCAATATTATTGTTATTATGTTGTATAAATTGTTGATCAGTTGGTATCCAAAAATATCGATCAATAATACCTCTACTATTAATAGTAAAAACAGCTGATGCTAAACGTTCCCAATTAGATTTTGTTAATTGATTTTCAGATATTGTTGTTGTTGTTGTTAATGGTGGTGGCGGTGTTGTAGTTGTTGCTGCCATTGTTGTTGTCACTAATCCAGCAGCAGCAGCTGCTGCTGCCGATAACATCGATGAACTCCCAGTAGAGAATAAACGAGTTTTTAATATATTTGTTGAACGATAAATATTTGTATAAGATAAATCTTTATTGATTGTATTCACTATAGTTGATTCTTGTTTGGATGGACAACAAAATGCTGGTATAACAGTTAAATAAATTGATTTCAATTGAGTTATTGTATTCTCTTTTAATTTAATTCTTTCTATACTAATACCAATATCATTGATATTTGAATGTTTTATAGTACACCATTTATGATTGATGAATTCAATCTTATCAAATAATGTATGAGTATTGAATACTGAATGGAAATATTCATTTGGATTATTATCAGTTAAAAGACGTTGAAAGAATGTTGTAGGCTTTGTAGTGTTAGGTGTAGTACTAGTACTAGTACTACTACTAATACTACTGCTACTAATAGTAGTAGTAGTGGTAGTAGATGTTGATTGTATTAATGAGTTATGTTTGTGTATTGAATTGTCATTTTTAAGATTAGCATAAGTTAATAAACTAATAACAGGTAATCTACATTGATGAATTAATATAGATAACCATTCAGAATAGGTTAAACGTTTTGGATGTGGTACCTGTAATTATAGATTGAAAGTAAAAAAATAATAAAACAGTTATTAGCAAAGATGGATAATGGGTAGCAGTGGAATCTAGGACAAGCGACACTTTTTATTATTCCAGACTTGTCAGATGGATGTACCTGCATTCCAGACTTGTTGATGTTCATTCGGGGACTCGAACTCAACACTGTTTGCTACAAGTGCCACCGCGTTATCAACTTAGCTACTGAGTCCTAAAGCAACTAGCTTGTGCAATGGGGTGAAGTTTAAATTAACTCGATATTGTTTTACTTGAATCTTCTTATTGATTTTTAGGACTGCTATTGATCAGTCTCTTATTGGCATATGTGCATACTATGTGAATTGTTTTAATTTACAAGTATTATTAGCTGACGAGTCCCAAATAGGACAAGACGCACGTCCTGGATCCCAGTGATAGCCACTATCCATTTTTGCTTATAATGCTTTTAAATTAAGGCAACATCGAAGTAGTACACATAGTATGCACACATGCCAATAAGTGGCTGATCAATTTCAGTCCTAAACATCAATGGAAAGATTCAAGTAAAAACAATACCAAGTGAATTAAAACTATTATTGATTAGAAGTTTGTAAAAATTCTTCTTCTTATCATGTTGGTTTTTGGTCATGGTGGTGATCAATTTCATGTGTGTCAAGTCCTTGTTTAGTGCAGATCGAATGCTATCGACAATGTTGCAATGTAGCCACCAGTCTAGGTGACTCGACACTGCGGACACTATATATTGAAATTAGATCGTGGTTGGAGGTAGTCAACAGGAAATCCTGGACCTGGGTTTCGTGCTATTTGGGACTCGTCAGCAAGGTGTACCTGTAATCTTGAGGGAACTGGTGCTCCCTGGCGGATTCGATCTCGTGTCACCCAGCTTCACAGTCAGAGACGTTACCACTGAGCTATCCGAGCCGTGACTAACCTCCTGTAGGACTGAGATGTAATAACAATTGATTGATCACTGGGTGGTGATCAATGTCACGTGTATCAAGTCCTCCAATTAATATCAAATTAGCTTACGTTTGACAGGTTTTACAACCAGCTGACTGACAGACTTCAGTAGTCGACTACAAGCAGCTATCAAGATGTCAGTTCTCCTAACTTTGATCTAAATCATTTGGAGATTATAAAATATAAGTATTGTTTGATACTACCTGTCATCATACATCTAATCAAGTCATCTATAACCACAAGAAGTGATCCAAATCAATTCTAGTAACTTCGAGATGGTGGGTGATACAACCAAAACAAAGAACTAAACAATGACAGATTTATTGTCAACAAAAACCAATCAAACATCGATGTCTACGAGACAAGTTGTGAATAATATGTGAAGGAATTCAAGGAATTCACTTCTACCTGAAGTTTGAGCTGATAATATCGTTCAGAAGAATGATGAAGGCTCCACGACTAAACCATCCAGCTCAAGGAATAAAATTTCATCTAAAAGAAGTAATTTCTTTACAATTAGTCAGTCAGTCAAAAACGTAGAACTTCGTATGTACATACATCAGTTCGAGTTTCCATACCACATTAGCACACAGATACAATTGTCCATTCAAATCCCAAAGTGGTAGAGATAGTAAGAGCATAAACAGTAATCGGAAACATTGGGATTCGAACATGTTATTCAAGAAGTATAATTCAGTGAAATAAATTTGGAAAAAAGAAAAAAGAAAGGGATATGAAGAATTCAAAAGATTAGAATTTGAGAGAACACACAGAGTAGATTCACCTACGTCATTGCAAACGATTTTGAGCCATCACTTTTAAGGTCTCTAACCATTAGTTGCTATCATCTTGCGGAATTTCATTACAATACTATGACCTAGTTGATCAAAGTCATCTGTTTAAATGATTTCGATAGGATTTAATTGAATGTTATTAATGAAAAATGATAATAAAAAACACCAACAAACAAGGGTTACATATATAAGAACTTTTGTCTGAATTCCATCGAATAGTTTCATTTTATTTGGGCGCCTTATCGATATGAGACATTAAAGAGGAAGAATGAACGTTTCATTTAGCATTTGGGTCCAAGCTTTTTTCAAGAAAATATATTCAAACATTAAAATTATCGAATATACAGACAAGATGGTGGTTGGAGGTAGTCAACAGGAAACCCTGCTCGATCTAGGTTTCGTGCTGCTTGGCACTCGTCAGCAAGATGTACCTGTAATCCTTACGGAACTGGTGCTCCCTGACAAATTCGATCCCGTGTCACCCATCACCAGATCCCTCAAGATTACAGGTACATCTTGCTGACGAGTGCCAAATAACACGAAAGCTAGATCGGGCAGGATTTCCTGTTGACTATCTCCAACCACCATCTAATCTCTACATAGTGCACGAAATGTCGAGTCACCTAGACTTGTGGCCATATTACAATTTGGTCGATAGCATTCGATCTGCACTAAGAAGGACTTGACACACATGACATTGATCACCACTCAGTGATCAATCAATTGTGAATATATAAACAAAGTACATAGTCCTCTGGTTCACTGTACACTAAATAGGTCATCCAACCAACATTAATAATGTTTAAAGTAGGTATTGGCTTCAGTGGTTAAGACTTGTGGTGTAAAACGAACACATTAATATTGGTACAAAAGTGGCACCGAATACATATGTGCCATATATGTCACTTGATTTGTGTGTGGGCTGTGATACTGCCCTGGTGCCCAGACCGAGGAAGGTCGTTTTCTAAGGGCGCCATACTCAGAGCCTTCAATCTGAAGGTCTGATCCACAAGGCATTGGAGTAACGTAAGGAGAGGCAGTCCCATGGTAGCCGGTGACCAACAATTTGTTTTCTCCTTCATGATACTGGAGCCCACTTACACCATGGGTTTAGAATGAGGGTTTCCCAACTCCTGTAGATGGATCCTCCAAATCCACGAACACGGTTAAAATGTCGGAAATTCGCCTTTCGTCCTCTCGATTCAGTAAATAGCACACGTTGTGTGAGAACGCAATGATTAGGACGTCCCTGGCAGTGGCTGTGTACTTGTGGCCATATAAGAGCGTTTGGAGAGGGAGAGCTAACTCTCCCGAACCCCGGCCGTACCAGGGCATTTGGGGGTCTGAAGTAGACTTATCATATACGTAAGTGGTGTCTCGGACACAATGAATTTTTAAAAGAAAACATACAATCTTTCATATATAGGTGATATAAATCAATTATGTCGTAGAA